TGCTCTTCACGTCCAAGACCCATTATGCAAGAGGTGGGGGCACAAGTTGAGCCCGTCGATGTCCTGGTGCCCCTCCCCAGTACATCGGTCTCTCGCTTCCTGACATAGACCATTGGGAAGTTCTTCCTTTGGTCTACTGAACAGGTGTTCTGCTTCAGCTTGAGTCATCAGCCTTCCCCTCGTGGAGCCAGTGAGCGATAGCTGCTGGCCCCACAGCCTTCTGTTCACACCGTCAACCCTGGAGCCTCCATGGGGCAGCGAGGGGTGAGGGATAAATAACCCGAGACAAACAGGGGCAACCAAGCAGCTGAAGCTCCCAGATCACACACGCTTGTTCAGTTTGGTGCCAGAGGGTGGTGTGCAGACGTCTCTCTCTGGGACTGGGACTCACTGCTCTGGATCCCACTGGAACGGCTGCCTAGGGGACTGAGGGTTGACTGTCTGATGCCGCTGCAGGGAGAGAGGCCTGGGGGCTTCATTGGGCTGATTGTGAACAGGGAGGGCTTTGTCAGGAAGGCTTCCTGGTGCTGAGATGCAGGGGGGGGGGGGGCGCTGGGTGAGGGAGGAGGGAGGTACCTAGTGGGGAGAAGTGCCCCAATGTCCACCCTGACTGACTGAAGTACCCTCTGCCTCTGCCCTCCCCCTTCCTCAGAGTCACAGACCCGAGAAGGAGTGGCCTGTGAAGAGCCTCCAAGTCTACTTGGGAGTGAAGAAGAAACTCCGGCCACCCACCTGGTGAGCTGGACCTGGGGAGATGGGTCTATAGCGGGGGCCTGTGGGGGCTCAGAACAGATGGGGGGAAGGTACATCTGGGGGCTTTGAACTTGACGGGTGGCTTCAGTGGTTCTGAAGGTGTGGTCTCCCAGACCAGCAGCAGCAGCGTCACCTGGAAACACATTAGTAACTCCACTTCTGGGGTCCCACCCAGACCTGCTGGCGGGTGGATCCCGGGGGTGGGACCAGCAGTCTGTGCTGTAACAAGCGTTCAGGGAACTCTGATCCTTGCTCATATTTGAGAACTACTGGCCTGGATTGAAACCCTTTTACTGACTATCTCTGGGACCTGTCTGTGCCTTACTTTGTACATCTGTAGAATGGGGAAAATAACACGACAGTTGGTTCAAAGGGTGGCTGTATGTTTTCAAAAATTGAAAAGTGATGCATAGCCATAAGTATTGTTATTAATTTAAGAAGCCACCAGGCTTGGTGTTCTGACTTTCTTGACTCTTCTGCTGCCCGTGCCTGGCTTTATCTGAGGGACTAGGGCAGGACTAGGGTGGGGTAGGGCTGAGGATGGGGGAGCCAAGCGCCTGGGAGGCTGTGAGGAAGGTAGGGGCTGTGAGAGGAGAGGCGGTAGCTAGGATATGCTACCCTTGCAAGAAGGCCCTGAACTCTGCTCCCAGCTCTGGCCCAGGCTTCTGGGCTCTATCCTGGGAACCTGGGCTGTGAGGCCGCTGGGGGCTGTCAACTGACCCCACTCACCCCTCTGCAGCTGGGGCTTCACTGTGGTGCACGAGACAGAGAAACACGAGAAGCAGCAGTGGTGAGCGAGGGCCCTGTCTTGAGACCCCAGGCCGAGGAGAGATGGTAGCCTGTCCCCCTTGAGTGGGTCCCCCTCACTGTCCAGATCTGTGCCCGACCCTGAGACCCTGGGCTGGGGAGATGGGCAGGGTGTTCCCTGCTTAGCCCAGCCCTTGGCAGCATCCAGACCGGTGCCCCGCCCTACAGGTACCTCTGCTGTGAGACACAGATGGAGCTCCGGGAGTGGTTCGCCACCTTTCTCTTTGTGCAGGTACCAGGTGCAGAGGGTAGGACTGGGTGTTGGGGGAAGGGGGTCCCGAGGAGGCATTCATTGTGGTGAATGGGATGTTTGCTTCTTCACTATTCAGTTTACCAATTGTTCAAGGAAATTTCGAGTTGTTTTTAATTCATTTTGTTTGTTCCTTTACTCATTAAACCATTCCCAGTGCCTGCTCTGGTCCATCCTAGAGCCAGGCATGCTAGAGACAAAGGGTGCAGACCCCTGTCCTTGGGTGGGTGTGTGGGAAAGGCAGCAGGGAGAGGGGGTCATGGGAGCTGAGTCTTTGTGGATGAGGGAACATTCAAGCAAAGGTAGGGGGTTGGAGGTGGCTTCTAGGCAAAGGGAACAGTTTACGCAAAGGCACGGCAAGAGAGCTACAGACTGTCCAGCGAGGTGTAGAGGGAGAAGCTAGGAGTGCCAGACGCTGGCACTAGAAAGGGAATCGAGCAAAGCCTCAAAGACCCTTGAAGGCCACAGAAGCTGAAGTTGACCTAGTCGGCAGTTTTAAGGGAGAGTGTTAAGCAAGAAAGAGTGGTGTGGGTTTGAGTTTCAGAGGGCTCATTCTGGATGTGGCATACAGGGGAGGATGGACTACAGGGCCGGCCTGAAGGTGAGGTGACCAGGGAGGTGGCTGCTGCAGCGGGCCAGGTGCGAGCAGGCTGGGGACTTCGAGCAGGGCCAGAGCGGTTGGGCCAGAGGTTTTAGCTGAGAGCTCAGAACTGTTTAGGAAGAAGACAGACAAAACTGTACCAGGACCTGGGCTGAGTTCTTTTCGTAGTCAAGGTTTAAAGGGAAACGGTAGACGCTGTAGTTTTCTTGGTTCCTGTTGAGAGGAGGCAAACTGTTTTATTGGTGCTGCGTTCCCGGAGCAGCTTGTTTGTGGAGCGGGAGATGAGAGTTGTTGGGTAACATAATTGGCTGGGCTTTGCCAGGAATACAGTCATGTCCTCCTAACAGCTGCTTCTCATATCGGCTGGGATCAAAGCTGAGGGTGTCACCTCAGATCACAGCTGGAGTCATTTCTGGGAAGGGTGGGCGGATCTGAAGCTGAGTGTCTGGGCCAAAGCTGAGCCCGGGTCTCAGCATCCCTCCCCTCCCCTGCTCCCCAGCACGACGGCCTGGTGTGGCCCTCAGAGCCCTCACGCGTGTCCCGGGTGGTCCCCGAGGTCCGGATAGGCAGCGTATCGCTGATCCCCCTGCGTGGCAATGAGAACGAAATGCGCCGGAGCGTGGCTGCCTTTGCTGCGGACCCCCTTTCTGTGAGTGGCTCTCCATCCCCGTGGGCAGGGCTGGGGTCTTGACTGGATGCTGCCTTCCACCTGACTTACCTCTTTGCTTCTCCTGTCTGAGTGCCCTGGTGCTCTGTCCTCAGTAGGAGTCCTGACAGGCCCCTTTGGTTCACTTGGTTCATGGGAGCCCCTCTCCACCTAGGCCCCTGTGAGCCTTCACAAGGTGCTTATGAAATCTGGGCTTCTGTGTCTTTCCGCAGCTCCTGAGAAACATGTGAGTGCAGGAGCCAGTCCCTGGCTCTGGGATTCTTGCTGCCTGGAAGCCTTCCTGTTCAGACACCCTCATGCCCTGCGTGCCTGCCGTGAGCCAGCAGAGGGCGCATGAGGAAGCTGCACCCCCACATTCCACATCCAGACTGCAGCATGGGGATCCCTGGCTGGTGTGAGGGCCTATCTGAGAAGGAACCCCGCACCTGCTCTGTGCCAGGTGCTCAGCCCTCCTGGCCTGGTCTGCTCTC